AATAAAACGTTCCCCAGGCCAAAGAGGTCCCCTTTAAAAAAAAAAAAAAAAAAACAACAAAGATACATCAAGCTACATGTATACTTTTGGTGCCTAATTTAAGTAGTCCACCTAATATGTTAGTGCTATACTAGGGTTCTACACTATTTGCTATAACTGCATTTCAACTATGTGAGTTGTCTATATAAACCTTCTGGTTATAATCTTCACATGTCCTCAATTCTAACTTGGGTGTAACTTTACAACTTAAAGAACAGTTAATCTATACAACACTACTAGATTAATAGCCAACTTAGGACTAGTTTATTTACAAAGTAAATCTAACAACACATTGCATATCCCACACATAACATGCTAGTGTGTGCTCATTTGGTAATTACTTTCCAAATTAGTACATATTGTCTGCTGCTATAGTGTTTGTATCTTTGTCACTTTTTGGGGTACAGCTATAATACAATCCATATCTAAAGCACAATCTTTTTAATTTAGTTCTCTATTACTTACTTCTACTCTTTATAAGATTCACAGATCCCAGTACCCCATTTTGTTACTTTCTGCATCTTACTTTATTTGGATTTATTAGTTTTCCAATCTAGATGGCCCAGAGAAATTGGTCTTCCCAGACCTGAGTTTCCCAGGCTCAAGTCTGAAGGATGCCCAATTCTTGAACTACATTTTTATAGCACATGACCTTTTCCTTTGGGGTCTTATTCTAGAATCTTACCCCTATTTATACTATCAAGGTAGTCAAAGAATATATAACTAAGATGGCTCTAGTGACCTTAACAGTAGTAATATAAACCAAACCCAAATAAGATAATTACAACTTTATATCTAATTTGGGTTTGGAGTTGACTATTATTGTATTTCAAACCCAAATCAAAACCCAAATCAGTTGCCCTTTTCTTTCTGTATATCCCAAACCTCATTGACCAATCAATGATTAGAAGTTTAAAAATTATACATAAATGTATTAGGTATATATTGTATATATTTAAGCTAGCAAGAAATATCTTGCACAAGTTTTCATTAATGAATATAAGACTAGAACTAGCTTTTGACTTCCTTATTTCTTTTGTATTCTATCAAAGGGTGGCAATATTTACATATGTTGTTTCACAAATACTTGAAATTTACTTATAAGTGAAAAAGCTTTAGAATATGTTCTATTTATTTATTTTTTTCTTTTTTATAAATAGTAGATATTTATTATAAATAAAAAATATTTTATATCATTATTTTAATAGCTCTCTTTAATTTTTGGGCTAATTGAGCTTTTAAGTGATCTAGTTTTTGGTTTCTATTTCATTACTAATAAATTAAAAGAATACTATCAATTATTCTGAATAATAAAAATGAAGCAAGTATTTAATCCCAAAGGTTTGTTTGTTTTTTTTTTATTTTTTTGCCATCATTCCTTGGTATTAAAAACAGTTTTTTAGATATTAGAAATGCTTTTAGTTTTTATTTAACTATATGTTTGCAAGAAAAGTTTTATATAGTTACAATTAATAATTTAATAATTGTTACTTATTTTGTTCTATGAATTAATTTGATAATTTATATTGGTGTATAAAATACAAGTAGACATTACTGTATTTCAAATGTATAAATTAAAAATATAATAAATCAATCTTTAACTTGTAATAAAGCAATTAAAGTTTTTGATATAGAAGAAGATTTTTCTGAAACATCACAAACTAGTTAAACTTCTAGTAAATGAAAGGCAGGAAAAGCTAGTCTTCAAAAGGTTTTAGTAAATAAGAGTAGGCATTTAAGAGATCCTGTCTGGGAAGACTTTGATATTAGTGTATCTGATGGTAAAGGTCTCTATAGTACTCAATGCCAATACTGTGTTAAAGAAAAATAAAAATATAGAAGGCCTGCAGTTATAGAGGCCCATTTAGTATTACATTGCAAAAGCGAAGTTTCTAATAATATTAGGCACCATTATCTAATTCGAGTAGCAAAATGAAATGACAATATAAAAGATAATAATTGTGATAATGAAAATGAATCATCATCATCTTCAATAAAGTCACACCAATATTTATATAGTAAACCTGTATCAAATAAAAGAACTAACAAAATTAATAAAATTATACTCAAAGCTTTTGTTTGTACAAGAGTTGCTTCTCTGTTATTAATAATCTATTTGTCTGTGATCTTTTTAACCTACTTGAACTAGGTATGTTCCTTCTAGAAGAGTTACATTGGCAGAATGAATATTTGATGAGACAATAGTCTATGTAACAATACATATAAATAGTTTATTTGACAAAGCACAAAGTTTAACTTAGGTAAAAAAATCAAATATAAAAACTTTTTTATACAGTATAGTATTATAAATTTAATATATTATTTTAATAGCACTTAATGAATGGTTGTCTCCTACCAATAATTTTTTATATAATTTTATTGTTTCTACTTCTAATTGTAAAGAATATTTGTATCCAATTTTGAATTTTTCTGATTTGATGCAGATAGGTGAATTCTTGCCTCTAAAATTTTTGATGTTGTTGACAAAATTGGCTCAAACAAATTTATAGCATGCATTATAGATAATGGAAGTAATATTTGTATTGCCTGTGAAATTACTATATATAATTATTCTCATATTTGGAATATTAGATGTATTGCTCATGCATTGAATCTTATTGCAAATGATATAGTAAAAATCAAATCTGTTGATCATGTTTTAAAGCAAGCAAATCAGATTGTTCTGTTTTTTAAAAAGTGATATAAAGCACATTAACTTCTCAAAATGGTATTGAAAGTATAAAATTAGGTGGCGGTGGTTTAGAAACATATGCTGAAACAAAATAGGCTTCTGTTTTTGGTATTATATTTTTTATTATAAGACTAAAGCCTGTTTTTAATACTGTATATTTAATATGTACTATATACTGTATATAAGTGTATGAAAGTAAAGTCTGTATCTAATTATAATAAATTATTATTTTTTTAAATATTAGAAAGTAATCATAATGTAATTAAACCAGCTATTATTCTACTATTGATGATACATTTTATACAAATTGTTGTCAAATTGCTTCTATAATTTAATCTATTAAAAAGGCAATTCACAGACTAGAATCACAGCAAGTCTTGCTGATTGCTTTGTTAGTATAGTGAAGTTAGCTATAGCTATCAATAAAATTCCCTTAAATAATACTTTTTGTGGGTTAGTTATCAATATATGTCGGGGCTGAAGCTGAAAATGGCTGAAGCTAGCAATCACGTGATATTTGGATAATCATCTTGATGATCATCTATGTCAGCTTGCATATCAGCTTGAGTGTCGGCTTGAACGTCGGCTTGAACTTCGGCTTGAATATTGTTGACTGCATATTGCTGTGCAGATGTGTCACATATTATTTTTTATCTATTTATAGTTATGGTTAATGCACTTCAGCTTTTAAAATACCTGTGATGTACTGTGCGAGGACTGCGAACGTATCAAAAGATTAATAGTCTTCGTGGTTCTTTTAGTTTTCTTGAACTCTAGAATTCTAAAAGGATCACAAAGACTACTGATCTTTTATAAATAAAACTTAAATGCGTCAAAATTCCAGTTGAGAAAAAAAAAAAGGTTATTG